GCTTACGCCTAACAGCCGGGCCGGCAGTTAAGCTATCTGGTGCGCATCTTGGCCCTAGGTTGGGCCAAGTTGGGCCCATGTGACCTATGTTGGGCACATCTTGGGCCCATGTTGAGCCTATGTTGAGCCTATGTTGGCCTATGTTAGGCCTATGTTGGCCTATGTTTGCCCAGGTTGGGCCTATGTTGGGCCTATGTTGGCCCCATGTTGGCCTATGTTGGCCCTATGTTGAGCCATCTTGGAGGCTATGTTGGGCATATGTTGGGGATATATCTTGGGCCTATGTTGAGGATATGTTAGGAAATGCAAGTCGTCTGGAGGACCTCCACCCACAAAATGTCGATTAAGCCTGTCCGCCCGGCCCGCATTACCGACACCGCCCTTGAAAAACACAGCATTTTTGCATTTTTCCCTTTTCCCCGCGTCGTACTTCGATATGCGCAATAAACCCTGTAAAACACAGTTTTTTATACCTCACACTGCAAATTACGTTGATATCAGTGACCCAGGGGGTCCCCCCATTTTTTGTGGCGAGGGTCGGGCGCGTGGCCGGCGCCCGGATTATTTATGAGGCTTACGCCTGACAGCCGGGCGCCGGCCAAGTAGGGAGCAGGGAGAGGGTATAGGCACAAGATAGTAGCCTCCCAACATATGCCCAACATAGCCTCCAAGATGGATCAAGATAGTGCCAACATAGGCCAACATATGCCCAACATAGTCTCGACCGAGGCCAACAGAGGCCAACGTATGCCCAACATAGGTTCAACGTTGGCGCAAGATGTGCCCAACATAGACCACATGCGCCCAACTTGGCCTAACCTAGTGGTAAGATGCGCGCCAGATGGCTTAACTTTACTCAATATAGGCCCCGCCAAGTCTTAAAAAGAAAGAGAGAGAGAGAGAGAGACAGAGTACCCAAACCTAAGATCCAAGTGAGCCGCATAAGGTGGGTGTGTGTAGGGATGGGTACTCTCCCTTTCTCTGTCTCTTTCTCTTTCTCACGCTCTTTCTCCCTCTCCTCTCTTTGTCTGTATCTGTCTCTGTCTTCGTCTAGGTATTTTTTTTTCTCTCTCTCTCTCTCTCTTTCTCTCCCTCTCCCCTCTGTTTGTCTCTGTCTTCGTCTCTGTCTCCGTGTTGGAATGTGTCGGTATCTGTGTCTGTCTCTTTCTCTATCCCGGCTAGAAGGTTGTGGGGGAGCATCGCTCTCCCACCCTCGTGTACGACGGGGGCCGGGACTTCGGGCGTCCCGGCAGCATCCTTCGCAAGAAGGGGGCTCACCACCCGGGTGTGCACGGAGCACACCGAAGGTCGGGAGAGCCGTCGGACACAGTGGAGTGCAGGCGGGGAACGAGTGAGTCAGCGAGAGAGAGTGAAGCAAGCGTAGAGCAGCGCCAAAGCCGAAACACTGCCGGCTGACCGAGAGCTTGTGGTTCGCAGAAAGAAAAAGAAGAGTAGTTAGAAAGAGTATAATAAGCGGAGACATTTGCACGATAACCAGAACAGTTTCGGAATGTAAGTAACGAGTAGAATAGCATGCATGGAGAAAAAAGAAAGAGGCACGAAACTGCTTGAACATGTAGCCAATGGACGATAAAGACACATTTTTTCAGAAGTTGCCACGGAGCGCTAAGTTGGCCGCTTTTGCTGTCACCACCCATAGCCGTAGACAGGAGCCATGGCGAGCGCACCTGCGTTCACGCTGGTGTTGTCGGACTCGACGGGCTATGGTTGGCTTCCGGGTGGAAACCAGCCGACTGGCTAAGCATCATCGACACCTGCGCAGAGTCCCGGCAAAAAGTAAAGCCGAACAACTCCCACAGTTCCACAGTCAAATTTTCCGAAGTATATGGTTGGAGAGGTACAGATCCAAGAGTGTGGTATTTATCTCCGTGGGAGTTCGTGAAATGGTGGACAGTGAAAAAATTGCAGCCACCCCATGGAGAAAATGCTGAGTCCGACACAGGTTTAAGTGTTTGGGTCAATGGGGCAGGCCAGACCAAGAAACCAGCCCACGGCTGGAAATTCGGACGAGATTTTGTCTGGAAGGATTCGTTGCCCGCTGCCCGGCGTGACACCGCTCTTCGCCTGCCGGCAACGCCTCAGTGTCAGGCCGCGCAAGACCATTATCTCGAACGACGCCGCGAACCTTGCGTCCCATACCCCACAGTCTGTCCACTACCGAAACCCGATATGGCACGAGAAGCCCAAGCTAAGTTGCTTAATGTTTACCTTCGGCCGTGGACTTTAGACCTCCAAAATTCTACCCTTCACGTACCCCTCCAAAAGCATAACACAGTTGGACTCCAGAGAAACGCTAAGAAAGGAAGACGGGTGTCTGCGCACCCCTACGAGGCGGGAGTGTGGTGCGCGTGACGTTGCCAGTCTGAGTGCAGAAAGCAGTGTCTGTGAGTTCGTTCTCGCCAAGTCTTCAGTCGGGGGGCCGAACAACCCCTCCCTGTGCAAGACGGGGACCGGGACTTCGGGCGTCCCGGTAGCATCCTTCTCGAGAAGGGGGCTGACCGCGAGAGCCGTCTTGCACGTGTCCTCGGTCTTCGCTGTCTCTGCCTGGGTTGTCTCTCTCTCTCTCTCTCTCCCCCTCCCCTCTCTCTGTCTGTCTCTGTCTCTGTCTCTGTCTCCGTCTCGGTCTCTGTCGGTCTCTGTCTCTGTCTCTGTCTCTGTCTTCTCTGTCTCTGTCTCGGTCTTCTCTGTCTCTGTCTCGGTCTGGTCTTCTCTGTCTCTGTCTCGGTCTTCTCTGTCTTGTCTCTGTCTCTGTCTCGGTCTTCTCTGTCTGTTTCTCGCTCTCTCTCTCTCTCTCTCTCCTTTTGACTTGGGCCCATGTGGTCTATGTTGGGCACATCTTGGGCCCATGTTCATCCTATGTTGGGCCTATGTTGGCCCCATGTTGGCCTATGTTGGCCCTATGTTGACCCATCTTGGAGGCTATGTTGGGCATATGTTGGGGATATGTTGGCTATCTGGGGCCTATGTTGAGGAGATGTAAGGCAACTTATGTGCCCAACACCCACGAAATGTCGATTAAGCCTGTCCACGCGGCACGCATAACCGACACCGCCGGCGCCCTGTTAGGCGAAAGTCGTGTCCGCCGAAGGCCACGAAACACGGTAAAACATGATGTTTTCCACATCATGCGCAAAAAAACTGGTAGATAACATATAAATCTGTCGACCGGATTCGACCTGAGGTCGACCTGACGTCGACCGGGGGTATCCCCGCGGTCTAACAAAAGGGTCGGCGCCAGGGGCGGCGAGCGTATATAACCTTCGGTTACCAACCGAAGGCCTCCGGCAAGGGAACGTGCGCGTGGCCGGCGTCCGGATTTAAAGGCTTACGCCTAACAGCCGGGCGCCGGCCCACTTGGGTCTGTGTAGGGCTGGGTCGGGCGCGCGTGAAGCTATCGGGGGCATACACTGGGCCCTGGTGCCGGAAACTGGTCCGCGTCGGAGACGGGGCCCTATATTGAGCAAAGTTAAGCTATCTGGTGCGCATCTTGGCACTAGGTTGGGCCAAGTGGGGCCCATGTGGTCTATGTTGGGCACATCTGGAGCCCATGTTAACCCTATGTTAAGCCTATGTTGGCCTATGTTAGGCCTATGTTGGCCTATGTTGGGCCTATGTTGGGCCTACGTTGGCCCCATGTTGGCCTATGTTGATCCATCTTGGAGGCTATGTTGGGCATATGTTGGGGATATGTTGGCTATCTTGGGCCTACGTTGAGGATATGTTAGGCAATGTAAGTCGTCTGGAGGGCCTCTACCCACAAAATGTCGATTAAGCCTGTCCGCCCGGCGCGCATTACCGACACCACCCTTGAAAAACGCAGCATTTTTGCATTTCTCCCTTTTCCCCGCGTCGTACTTCGATATGCGCAATAAACCCTGTAAAACACAGTGTTTTTTATACCTCAAACACACACGATACACTGTAAATTACAGTGACTTCAGTGACCCGGTAGTGACGAGGGGGTCCGCCCGTTTTGGTCCCGAGGGTCGGCGGCAGGGGGCGCGCCCGTTTATAACCTTCGGTTACCACCGAAGGCCTCCGGCGCAGCCGCCGACCCCCAGGGGCCAGACCACAGGCAGCCAAATGGGTTAGGATTTTTTCGAAAAATCGGGGAACCCAAAAAACAACACGGAACCCCTAGTGACATGATCTGTCACTGCATCACCAAAGTAGGCAGAAGAGAACGCGGCAAATGGGTTAGCATTTTTCTTTGAAAATCTGGGAACCCAAAAAACAACACGGAGCCGAAAAAGGCATGAAAGGCATGAGTAAATCTTACAGAAACCTTTGAAAATCTTAGAAATCCAGCGGAAAACGTTACAAAATCTAGGAAAAACCAAGGGCACTGGCAGGGACCAGGTCGCAACCAGGCCGGGATTCGAGGAAAAACCATAGAACATCCTGGAAAAACCATCTTACAAAAACCTTTGAAAATCCTAGAAATCCAGCGGAAAACTTTACAAAATCTAGGAAAAACCAAGGGCGCCGGCAGGGACCAGGCCGTGACCAGCCCGGGATTCGAGCCCGGGATCATTTAGGGACCGTGCTTATTTTCCCACGCGGGTGGAGAGGGTGCCCCAATCCCCAGTAAGAAGCAAGCCAATACATTTGGATAAATTTTGGACATTTCTTGGCTACTTTTCGTCGCTTCAGCAAGGCTCCGGAGGGGTAGGGGCGGTATAGCCTTAATCATAGCCTTTGCCTTAATCATGGCCTTAGCCTTAATCATAGCCTTAGCCTTAATCAACAGTCACGCCTGACCCCACGAGTGGGGTCGGCGGATTCTCCAAGTTGATTCATTTCCGGCTTTCGTGGTCACAATCTTCTTGTTCCCTGAAGCAGCAGAGCTGCACAGCAGCAGAACTAGTTTGTTTTATCTTGTTTTTGTTGTGTGCGATGTGTCTTCGACCTTTCTGGTCGTTGCAACGATATGCAAGCATATGCAAGCCTTCTTGGTCATTTGTCCACTATTTAAGCAGGCTCGCCAAGAGATTGACGATCTAAAGCAGACGCTGGCAGCCGACGCCAAGGCAGTCACGTTCTATGCATGGCATTGTTCCACTGTTTTTGGGTATCAGGTGTATTCTCCAAATTGATTCATTTCCGGCTTTCGTGGTCACAATCTTCTTGTTCCCTCAAGCAGCAGAGCTGCACAGCAGCAAGACTAGCTTGTATTTATCTTGTTTTTGTTGTGTGCGACATGTCTTCGACCTTTCTGGCCATTGCAATGATATGCAAGCCTTCTTGGTCATTTGTCCACTATCTAAGCAGGCTCGCCAAGAGATGGAGCTAATGAATCAGACGCTGGCAGCCAGAGAAGAGAGCGACGCCAAGGCAGTCACGTTCAATGCAGGGCATTGTTCCACTGTTTTTGGGATCAGGTGTATCGTCCAAATTGATTCATTTCCGGCTTTCGTGGTCACAATCTTCTTGTTCCCTCAAGCAGCAGAGCTGCGCAGCAGCAAAACAAATTTATGTTGTTGTTGTTGTTGTTGTTGTTGTTGTTGTTGTTGTTGTTGTTG